TACATAACCTGAATAAATATTAATTTAATCAATTTTAAAATCTTTTTTTTTTCGGCTAAAGCATTTTCCGACACATCACATAGGCACACGCATGACGTGGAAAAACATTAATTTAATCAATTTTAAAATCAAGTCAAATCAATAGATTCTTGAAGTCCCCAAACTTGAGGCCTTTTTAAGCAAGTTTTTTACCTACAAAATTAAGGTTTAAGGATATGTTCAATAGAGTTTGAATCTGACTTTCTAAGTGACTCAAACAAGTTCCAAGAATATAAGCTCATGGGATTCTTGAAATCCTAAACCACTTGTAAGCCTACAATCACATGCATGGAAAATTATTTTTAACAACTCTAAATGATATTAAAAGCTCTAAATTATTCTTAACAACTTTAAATCACTTTTTTAATATGTAAAGAATAAAAATTAAATTTTAAATTTATAATTAAGAGTATAACTAATTTTAAAATCAAACTATATAATTGATAATCTTTAAATCATATATTAAAAACAAGTGTTAGGGGTACTCCATGTGGGCTTGAAAGCGCAAATAACCCTTCTCCATATCAGTCCCGTCCAATTTTTCATTTTTTAATTTTTTAAATTAAAAAAAAATGGTACGGGCCGATCAAGGGAAATGCCATGGAAACCAAGGGCCAAGTAAATGCCAATAAAGGTAGACGCGGGTCAATTAAGGAGGCCAAGGAAACCGCCAGTCAAGGTGGCCGAGGAAAATGCCAATGAATTTTAAAATATTTTTCTTAACAAAATTTGAATCATATAAAAAAGTCTAAATTATTTTAAAATATAAAATAAAAAGAATCAAAGTAGAGCTAATGATAATGATATTTTATATAAATGCCAAGGAATGAATTGTGTTTATCTTGGAGTGGGTGGATCAATTCTATAAATATAAGCTTCAATCAACAGAGCTCTTGCGCGCCCTCCAAAACTACAATCCATTCCTTGTTGGATTTATTTGTCTGTCTGCTGCAGCTTAATTAGGAAGCATGGATACTAGTTCGGTTCAGCCAATTCCATTTGTAAGTTTGGTTAATCTTTTTCTACATATATATATATGTATATATACACCCTGTATCCACGAATCCTCTAAGTGCATAGACATTATTCTTAGTTAATTTTCTAACCAGAATGAGATGAACACCTGTTCCTATGAACTTCATTTAACAAGAATTTTATTGCTTAATTTTCTTGTTATATTTCTTTTTGTGGCAAAAAAAAAAAAAGTTAAATATATATACATGGTTATGTATTTTGTACAGACTAGCTCGACTGTATCTCTGAATGCGATTATACCTGAGATTCTTAAAGAAGATAATTATGAAAGGTGGAGTATTTTAATGCAACACTATTTAGTGGCTCAAGGCCTTTGGAATGTTGTTCTATCAAGCCAGATTCCTTGGGCTGAAGATGCAGGGGACTGGATTAAAAGGAATGCTTCAGCGCTACTTGCAATTAAGATTTCATGTGGAGCAGAAATGTTTGATCAGATTAAGAATATGAATTCAGCCAAAGATGCTTGGAATGCATTGGCTAATTTGCATAAACCACCAAATGTAGAAGAGCGTAGAGGAAGGGAAACTGATGCAGGTTTAATTTCTAGCTCACTCTGTCTTAAATATTTATTCTTTTGCTGTTTATTTCAATGCCTTATAATAATCATACTTTTTAGCCTTTGCAACTTCATCTTTACACATCTTCATCTTTAAGAAACAACAAATAGGTATTCCTTGATATAATTATTATATGCTAAATTAGTATATGATTAAGGATAACTAAGTATTAGTATTTAAAATAAGGGATATGTAGTCAGGTTTGAGTTTTCATCGAGTTCAATATACTGATCCCAAACTTAACTTGTAAACTTAATTTACAAACTTGAATTCAAATTCAATTCGTGAAATCAATTTTGACTCGCAAATTCAATTTATTATTTAAATTTAATTTAAAATTTTAAATAGTTAATATATATATTTATTTTTTTAGTAAAATTGAATCGAGTAGAGCCAAACTAAGTTTTGGGTATGATTCAAACTTAATTCTCCTCAATTTTTTAAGTTCAAACTCAAGTTCAAATCAACTCAAACCCAGCTTTAGTTTGAGTGAAAGTAACTCATGAGTAACTCAACTAATTTACTACCCTATGTATTTCTCATTTTCTCTCCTCATCTTAATAAAAATTAATAATTTCAAATAATATCTACTCTTAATTTTTTAAGAAAGCCTCTCAATTTTAAATAATATATTTTTATAATTCTTTCACTTGAGTCATTAAAAATGAAAAAATTAAACTAAAGTATAATTGACATGCATAATCTTTATTAATAGAATATTTTCAATTATTGGTTTTCTATACTACAGAACGATCATGTTTTGAGAGTAGGATATGCACACTATTGAGTTGAAATATTGTATTTCTAATTTTTTATCATATGTTAGTCACTTTTATAATGATAAATGAAATTAAAGTACTAATAATTCTTTATTTAGCCTCCAAAATAAAACCAAATGTTTTATTCATCCGCTTTTGGGTGTGTGCTTTTTACTAAATTAACTTTTATTCTATCTTTGAAATAAAAAAGTTAAGGAAACCATGACAGGGGTAATGGATAACAATGAAAGGACTGAATTTGTGACCTTACTCAAGGACATTTACACAGGGGATTCAAATGCCCTAAAATCTTTAGACAAAATAACTGGAATGATTTTTCCTAGTGGTTTCACTGCTCTGCACATCGCAACTATTGCTGGTCACTTGAAAATTGTCAATGAATTGGTTAAAATCATGGGAGAAGACTACTTGGAAATACAGGATGACAATGGTGATACAGCTCTCTCCCTTGCTGCTTGTAATGGAGAAATGAAGATTGCAGAATGTTTGGTTCAAAAGAATGATAAATTGCTTACTATTAGGAACAAGGAAGGATACATACCACTTGTGGTTGCATGTTTCAATAGGATGAAGGATATGTCATCCTATCTCTATTCTGTGACTCCGTTTGAGTTCTTACTTCCAGAAAATAGCAATCAGGGAGCCTTGTTCCTCAAATATTGTGTACTCAACTTCATGTTTGGTAAGAGTTGGTCACTAGGCTTTCCTTTTTCTAAGTTCTAATTTATTGTTAATTCTTGCCATATACAGTTTGGATTGTACACTCATGGCTTTTATTTGTTGTTAATTACTTACATGTGATATAACAGATGTTGGTTTGGATCTATTCCTTCGTTGTCCACAATTGGCAGCTAGTACTAGAGAATCGATTACCATTTCAGAATTATCTGCACAGCCTTCTCTATTCCCTATCAGAACAAGGCTTCACCCTTATAACCGATTTTTGTATAAATGTTGGTAACACTCCCTTTTTCTTTAGCTCTGTCCCTTCGATGTCCTCGATTTGCTCCTTTTATTTACTCATGATATTAATTTCTTTCATTCATTATTATTGAAGGTCTATGTTTTGTTAAGCTGCCATCTCCCTCAGAGGGCATGCATAGAAGTATACATAAAATCTTCCGAATACATGGTATGCTTCTGTTACGTACCTATATATTGACTCAAATGGCAAACAATAAATGCTAAGCCAGTATATATGAATGGAGTTTGTCTATTTGATATTGCAGTAGCATGGGTTAAAGTAATAGATGGAATATTGGAACTCCCTTTTTTTATACACCGTCAATTCTATGGAGCTGGTATATAATGTCCCCAAAACTATACTGTTTTCTTTGTTATTCTTCAGAATTTCTTCAAGTAATTTCTCTTCATGATTCTTTTTCTTGACTTGGTGTAGCTAGACTGAAGGACATATATAAACGAAAGTTAACCCATATGTATGTCAATTCGGTTTTGCAACACTGTTGCAAGGAAATATCAACCTACAGGGATGCCAGGCAACTTGTTGAAAGTGGAACAGTCTCTGCAATCTTCCAAGCAATCAAGGATGGCACTGTCGAAATTGTGATTGAGATCCTTAAAGCAAACCCCGATTTAATTTGGTGCAATAAAATGCTTTCAAGAGATATACTCATCTCTACAATCAAATATCGTCAAGAAGGTCTTTTAAGGTTTGTTTACAGGCTTGATGCAGGAAAGAAAGCATTTCTCTCTTTAGGAGATGAAGATGGAAACAACGTGTTACATCTAGTAGCCAAGTTACCTGACCTTCAAGGTTTTGGTAATTTCCATCCAGTTTGGGCTATGCAACAGGAAGTAAAGTGGTTCGAGGTTGTCAGTTGACTCTAATTAACTTCATATTTCTTTTCTCAAATTAGAGTTGAAAGTATGCTATATATTCATCCATTATTATTATTTTTTTATTGAGGTAAAACAGAAAAAAATTCTCTCTCTCTGATTGCTGAAATTATAAAATGGAAAGCAAATCCTATGTTATCTTTGTCATACTAAAAACCCTTGGTGAAGTTTTTCTTTTTCATGGGTTTCCTCACTTTTTTTCTACTTGTCTCTTAATTCTTTTTTTTTTTTTTTGAGAATGATTTTTTATTTTTCAATCTAGAATCTTATTTAGTAAGAGTGTTTAAATACTTCTATAGTTTAAACTTGATAAAAAAAGATACTTCTAATTTATTCTGAGTAAGTGTTATAGCAAAGTCTAATTTGGAGTAAATAATGCTTAGTCTCAGCAATCAAATAAATTGCTTTTCTAGAAAAGATTTATTGTTCCAGCAAAATAAAAAAGAGAGAAAAGATTTATTGTTCTTTATATTTTTTTTTATTCACTTTAAACTTTAAGGCTAATATTGTTATGAAATGGCAGGAAGTTAAAAGTGTCCTCCCAAGCCCGTATGAAGTTGCCAGAAATCTTTATGGTGAATCTCCATTAGAAGTTTTCCGCAGAGAACACCAGCAATTGACAAATGAAGCGAGTGAATGGGCAAAGAAAACTGCAGATTCTTATATTCTGGTACCTGTTTTAATTGTCACCATTATGTTTGCAGCAATTTTTACCGTTCCTGGCGGGAACAATCAGGAAACCGGGATCCCCATATTATTGCACAGAAAACTGTTTTCTGGGTTTCTAATATGTGATGTGGTCTCCCTTCTTACTGGATCAACTTCAATGCTGGCATTTCTTGATATACTCATAAAATCCCGCAGTGATATTTATCTTCGCAAATCTCTGCCCTCGAATTTGATGTGGGCTATTTCCTCACTCGTAATTTCAATAGTAACGATGATCCTGGCCTTCATTTTTGCTCTTACGATGATGTTGCAAAAGAAGTGGGAGGTACTACCAGCTATCATAATATACCTGCTTCTATTTCCCATCACCGTTTTGTCACTATGGCTGTATCCCACCCTTGCTGATTTTTATAATTTGATGTTTCGACCAATAATCTTCAAGAGACGATCAATGTACGGCATTTATTGAAGGATCTTCTCAGTTTTTTATGGTGTCAAATTATTTGTATTTTTTGTAAATTTGTAATGTCTGCATTTATGTTATGAACTTTTCTTTTTTTGAGAAAATATCTGGTGATTCGCAATTTTTTTCTGGATTTAGTCTATTTGAAGTTTGATTTTCATTCTCTGTTCGCAATTTTTTTCGGGTGCATAGCAGCATAGCAAGTATAAGAAAAATAAAATATGAAAATCTGTATGGTTGTAAAGAAAGTGCACAAAAATAAGTCCAAAACTGTCTTTGGTTTTACCGCAAAAAATGCTTGCCAATGAGGAACCTTGTCCCTTATATAGTATTGTTTTCGAATAAGAAATAATGAAACTTTGAAAAACTAGAAGCAAGTAACAGAATCTAGTACGTTAATTTGGTTTAAAGGGAAAGAAAAGGAGAGGAGGAAAAAAAAATTTAACTAATCAAATTAAAATATTTTTAAATATTACAATTTAAGTTTAAAAAAATTCTCTTTTTTCCGCTCTTTTATTCTTTTCAAGCTAAACATATTGTAACTTGATGTTCAAGGACTTCCACTGTAGTAGAGTGCTGTGCCAACCATAAGGGCCACTGTAGCCCCCTGCACAACCACCCTAGCTCTCATTAACATCTGACTCAGCTGGGAATTGCCTTGCCTCAAACTGATTAAGCACCCCCAAGGTCATAAGTGCACCTGTTGAATTCACAGACGCCAAACAAACTGAAACTCAATAACCACTGGTTTCAAAGAATAAAAAGGAAAGGGGAAGGACAGGGTTGTGCATATTGCAGTATGCTTACTGCCTTACTGGCTTCAGAGTTTTTTCATAGCAATATCAACACCATAACAATTTAAAATGCAAAAATAAGGCAAGAAATCTACCATCCTAAGAAATTACAGAGTTAATTAAAGCTCAAGAACTAGAAAGAACAGATAATGAAGATCCACAATCAATAGCCCAAACAAGAACAAAAGCAAGCATTATGCATCTCCCTCTCTACAACAAAATCTACCGCCCTCAAATGTCTTCACAAATTTATCATCAAGGGCTGATAAATATAAATATATATATATATATATCATCAAGTAATTTATGCCCACTATATTAAAACCAACAACTAGAATACCCAAAAACATAAACAAGGAATGCTTTCAATTACAAGCAGATCACTTTCTGACCACCAATAAAAAGAATTGCTTCCTGCTGCTCTGAGCCATTCCAATCAAGAATTAATAATCATACCAAAGTTCCACATGTCAACCCTCCTCCTCCTCCTCTGCCTCCACCCCTTCCCCAGCAGACAAATCAACCAAAAATGTAATACTAATAATAATAACTTGGAAAAGAAACAACATACTTTCCAAATGCTTGATCATCATCCATAGGAATACAGAATGAATCAAACAAGATTAGCTAATTCCAAACACAAATCAACATAAAATAACACAATTTCCTAGCCATCATATGGAGGGTCAAGCCTTTTCTGTTAAAGCTTTTACTGAAAGCAAGAGTTCAGCTCCCACTTCTATTTAAATTGCAAGTAACACTTTGAACACTTTGCCTCTGATCTAGAGAATAACTAAAAATCATAGTCAGTCTCACAGACAATGCAAGCAACCTCGGTGCCATGTAAAAGTTGAATCCGAAACCTCTTGTGGCATATGTTATGCAATTCCTTATCAAACCCACGGCTGGATCCAAATTAACAATCAATTTCTCCAAATCAACCATCCAAGGAGATCACTTTTTCAACAATAATAAGGGCAAAGAGGTTAAAGATGTAATTATCATACTTTTTATATTAATTAATATTAAAAGAATATAAAAAATATTATTAATTGTATTATTAGTATCTTATAAATTATTTTAATTAAATAAAAATTAATTTTTATTTTTTTAATATTAATTAATATAAAAAATAATAATTACACCTTAACATGTTAGAAAATTCCTAATAATAATGATAAAAAGAAATAGAAAATCTATTTCAAGAAAAGGCTTCTATCCTGAAAATGGATCTGCAGCACTGAATGTCAAACTCCCTAAACCTAAACCAGAGGCTTTCAGCTTTCAACCAAGTATATTTTCGTCTCATTTAGCAACTTAAACTTTGCCAAGCATGTATACCGAAAGATTCAAAACCAGAGTCCAAACAGACAAGACTTAAAAAATAATGAATTTTTCAAAGGGGAATTACGAACTGGATCAAGAGGGTTCCTGACGCACTTCTTCTCTTACAACAATTCTTCCAAACTGGGTTCCACTGTACCCATCTTCTTCTGATGTATATCTCCTCTTCTTTATCCAAGTTCGAAGCTAAATTTTCCACGAGCAGAGAAATTGGATTCGTAACCAGAACCAAAATGAAGTCGTCTAATAGGATCCGGCTACCAAGCTCGAGTCTTGACCCTGTAGTACTCCTAGCACGGCGGAGTCGATCAGCCCATCCGTCTGCTGGAGCTCCGACCCAATATTTTAGACCCGTTATTTATTTACTGAAATAGTGAAATGCGTCAATTAACCCTTCAACTTGTCATTCATGTTTATTTAAGTCCATTTAAAGTTGTTGGCCATCATTCGAAGGAAACGTTGCAATTTACTTACGATTTATTTTAGTTTTAGTATTTTTGGACATTGCCTAATTCAAGGTTATTTGATTATTTCTACTTAATTTTCACTTATTTTAGTTTTAGATATTTGATGACTCATGTTGAATTCTAATTACAGCAAACATTAGATTGTGGAGGTTTGATAATTTTTTTTTGTGATTTAAATCAAGATTGTTAACATTGTATTGCTATGTGTATTAATTTTCTTATTGATACAATATATGAATAAATTTTTAATTCAAGAATTAGTTTTTGAAAATATTAATTAAATTGTGAGTATTTAGATAAGTTCTCAAAAAAAAAATTAAGGGGACAACCTATACTACACCAACCTTAAAAATATAGGCCCTATTTTATTTTTTTTTCAAAGATTTAGAGTACCTTTTGAAAGTTTTTCAAAAGTTTCCACCCCATAACCCTTTGTAGTTTGTACCCATTTGTACCCCTCGCTCTGCCACTAATTAAGGTCTCCCATCACCAATCCGCCCTTCTTCTCCAACGCGAGGGACAAAAACATCCCTATCACCACCACTGGTTCCTCGATACAAAATAAACCCATCACCCACCTGCCTGCCAGGCTGCCACTCTTGTTGCCCAACCCAAGTACAAAAAGCCAACACCACCAACTAGCGATGCCCTTACTCTCACCCTACCGTAAGAGAATGGTAGCCATCACTAGTTTATTGAGAGGTCAAATTCAATCAAGTTAATTTTAAGTAATAAAGAAAAATTGGTACCAAGGAGGCAGATTAGAATTAACGTTATCAATATGACCAATGTATGACCCCACTGACAAGTAGAGATTAGAATAAATAATTAGCGTGGTAAAAAAAAAAAAAGAAAAGAGAGAGAGAGAGACACACTTTTATCAGCCTTAAAACGGGACTAATTTTTTTGTAACTAAACACAAGAGTAGTAAATCTTTCATATTCATTATAAAGTAAATAGAATATCTTGCAACTGATATCAAACTCATCATGCATACATGCCTATATACAAATTTCATTAAAA